TTATAAACAAGGTTGAATCTCCATCCTGGAGAATCAAAATCTAGTAGTTGTGACTTTGTATTAGGAATATCATCATTTTTATCTTTTTATTCCCTGGCAGACATGCATTAAATGTGTGTTGATTGAGTATCAAAATGGTAAGAAATAGATTAGTTACATGTTGGTGAAACATTGTGTTTTAGATGTTTACAGATGTACTAAAATTTTAACAGAAATCTTTGCAAATTACTTACTAAATTTTCCTAAAGTGATTTTTAAAAATCTATTTCATTCTCAGTTATAACATCTTTACTCAGATTATTAAATGCTTTGAAGCAGTTAACATGGCTTCTTTTTTTTTTTTAATGGCTGTTAAAAACCTGAATTTTTAGGCTGGTTAAACTCTGGTTTTAGAATGACTTTTGAGTGGAAATCAGTGATCAAAAGCAAAGTTCTCACATTTTGTCAATATCTGAATACCAGAAATAGAATGTCAGGCAGTTTCCCATGTTGAAATATTCGATACTAAAAGGATAGCAAAGCTGCTGAATATTTCTACTATTTATGAATTTTTGCCTCGCAGGTTCAAATAATATTTGTTTGTAATGGAAATATTTCAATTCATTTAAATCCTGATTATGGAGTAGTTAGTAAATCAGGTTTAAGCCTGACCGTGAGTTGCAGCACGCCAACAAGGCACAGGTATACATATGTAACAAACCTGCACGTTATCCACATGTACCCTAGAACTTAAAGTATAATATAAATAAATAAATAAATAAAAAAGATATAGCCCTTATTTCAGACTGTAGTTTGAACATGTAGACTCTCTGATTATAACTAGGCTAAATTATATAATAATGACTTTCTTTTCACTGAACAAAGTTTGCTATTATTTTGATGACAAATTATTTAAGTAATCGTAGTAAAAGTTGCTATTGGCTCTGGTTTTATTTATTTTGCTATATATTATCGACATGATTGATCATTTAATCATACCTTATAGACAAATAAAAGTAAATTATAGAATAACACAGAAATTTTCTAAATTTATACTTTCACTAAGTTTAATAACACCTAGAAATTCTCTGTTAAATTTATACTTTCACTAATTGTAGAATAAAGTATTTTAAGTTAGGCATTTATACTGAGACATTTTATAATATTAACTACTTCATGTTATTTACTCATTTTGATAAATGGAGTGATAATATCCAAAATGGAATAAATTAAGTTTAAATTATTGTTATTCTTTAAAGGAATGATTTAGCTACAGTATGTTTGTCCCACCTTTTAATTTTGAACATTTTCTAACTTACAGAATAGTAAAATGAACTTTTCTGTACCCTTCACATTGATCCACCAATTGTTAACATTTCAACACATTTGTGTTCTCTCTTTAAATAAACATATGTGTGTGTATTTTCCTCAGAATCATTTTGAAGTATTTATTCCTTATTCAAAAAATTAAGCATTGGTACTGTTTTCTGATGTATGATCAAGATTCCAGATGTAGCAGTTATTCTGATAGTGTCCTTGATAGCTGTTTAATTTTATTCTCAGTCCAGGGTCCAATAAGAATCACACATTACATGTATTAGTACTATTTCTTTAATATACTTTCCTCTCATCTTTTTGGTCAAGGCATTTTCTTCTTTTAAGAGTCCAACCCAGTTGATTGTAATATGTGCCACCTTGTGGACTTATTCTCATTATTTTAGGCAATAATAGTATGTAAGTGACACTGTGTGTTTCCCATTGCATCACATCATAAGGTTTATGGCTTTATTGATAATGCTAATTGATAATGGTTAAGATAGCATCCCTCAGGTTTCTTGCATAGAACCTTCTTCCCTTTCCCCATTTCATATTTGTATTTTCCTTATCCTGTTCAGCAAACCTAGTTCCCAACAGCATCAACTTTATATTCATTTGCTCTATCCTACAGTACACACAAAATAGTTTAACCAATAACATAACCAATAAAAAACCTACTAAAGTTTGTTGTTTTTGTTCCTTATAATATATTCCATCAAGACTGTATTGTCATAAGAGCATACTGAAAAATTATTTACATTATTTTTTCTATGTACTTATGTTACAATTTGATACCTTCTTTGATTTTTCATTCTTGTTATATTCAACTTCATAATTTGTGTTTCTTCTAATGGAATTTGAAATTCAAATTAAATTTTATTATTTGAAAATGCAAAATTTTCATGTTTCAGAAGTCAAATTTGAATGTAATGCTATATTCAGAGAACTCTTCTATTCCTATTCCTCTACTCCTTTCCCAGTCACTCTCATAGAAAATCATTTTTCATTTCTAGTTTTTTCTTTCTGTGTTTCTTTTTATAAAATTAGCAAACACAAAATTATATATACATTCTAATGTATGTATATAGTATAGTATCTATACTAAAAGAATATATATGGCTGAGTGAGGTGGCTTTCACCTGTAGTCCCGACTACTCAGAAGACTGAGCTGGTAGGATCTATTGAATTCAGGAGTTCGAGGCAAGAAAATATATATATACACACACACACACACACACACACGTATATACATACACATAAATTCTCTTTTATGTAATAAAAACCATAACATTAACTTTACCATCTTAACCATTTTTAAATGTACCAATTAGTATATGTATGTTGTTACATAGTTGACTTCTAGAACTTTTTCATCTTGCAACACTGAAACTCTGTACCCGCTAAACTCTAATTCTCCGACTTCCCTCCCTCAAGTCCTTGGTAACCAACTTTCTACTTACGTTTCTATGATTTTGACTACTTCAGCTACTTCCTATGAATGGAATCATACAATATGTGTCTTTTTTGTGACAGATCTTATTTAACTTAGCAAGTCCTTGATGTTCATGTATGTTGTAGCATGTGACGGGATTTCCTTCTTTTGTCTCTTTATCCTTTAATTGTTGATGGACGTGTGGATTGCTTGTACCTCTCGGCATTTATGAATATTGCTGCAGTGAACATGGACATGCAAATATCTCTTTGAGATCCTGCTTTGAATTCTTTTGACTGTATACCCAGAATTGAGGTTGCTTGATTGTTTGTTAATTTAATTTTTAATATTTCTTTTAGGAAGCTCCATACTGTGTTCGTAGTGGCTGCACCATGTTACATTTCCACCAACGCTACACAAGGGTTCATTCACTTCTCCATATTTTGCCAGCATTTTTTGTTTTCTGTGTTTTTGGTAGTGACCGTCCTGATCAGTATGAAGTGATATCTCATTTTGGTTTTGATTTCCCTGATGATTACTGATGTTGAACATTTTTTCTTGTGCTTATTGGCCATTTGTATATCATTTTTGGAGAAATGTCTATTCAAATCCTTTGCCCATTTTAAGATCATGTTATTTGTATTTTTATTGTTCATTTAGAAGTTTGTTATATATTCTGGATATTAACCTTTCATTGGATATATGGTTTGGAAATAAGTTGTCTTTTCACTCTGTTGGTTGTCTCCTTTGCCATGCAGAAGTTAAGCTTGATATAATCACATTTATCTATTTTTGTTTTTGTTGTCTGTGCTTTTGTGTGATATTTATGAAATCATTGCTAAATCCAATGTCCTGAAGCTATCCCCCTATATTTGAAAATAATATATATTAAGTTTTATTCTTTTTTAAACAAAGCTTTTATACCTTTGAGACTTGACTTTTTTTTAAAGTTAACAAAATATCCTGGAAATTATATAGATGGAGTGTTCCATAGAGCTTTTCCTTGTTTTCCATTGTTTTGTTGGGGTTTTTGAATGGCTGTGTGGTATTCCGTTACATGGATATACCGTAGTTTAATCGACTGATCTTCTACGGGTGGACTTCTAGTTTGTTTCCAACATTTTGCATTACAAATAACATCTCAATACTTATATATGTGTTGTTTTATTTTGTGGATGAGTCTCTAGAATTGGGATTGCTGATCATCAAGCTGTTACTATATCTCATTCCTACAGTTTTATCTTTGTTACTTTTTTCCTCTCCTCATCCTTTTACCTCTCAAATATGCATGTATTTCTTTTCTATTACAAATATTCAAGAACAGATTTTATAAAACTTTATCTTAATGTCTTTTGACTTTGTATATAGATTATTTGTAGGTTATTTTGCTACCTCTAAGTGTTCAAAACCAAATAGGTGTTAGCTATGGAATCACTAAAGAATATTAGAACCCTCAGGGATTTGAGCTAATTATGAAAGGTAAAATGTTCAAATCTGTGAAATGTATGCATCTTACAAGAAGTCCATTGTCATTAAAATTTATAATAATTACTTTAATGAAAAAATGAGATATTTGTAATTAGAACTATAACACTATTTCTGAATTTTTAGAAGAATTTTTTAGATACGAGCATGTTTTAGCTTAATTTATGTATGAATTACTACAATAAGTATGACAATCATAGTAACAGCCACAGCTAATATATGTTGTTTACTATGTGCTGGGTACCTGCTCAGCAATGCATGTACATTAATTTACATCATTTCAATTAATCCTCAACGACCTTATGAGATGTATTTGTAATTATATCTCCACTTTAAACATGAGTGAAGTGAGAAATGTTAAGTGATATGCTCTAACATGCTCTAACTCATGCAGTTAGTAAGTGGCAGAAGTAAGATTTGAACCCAGACAGTCTGCAATCAAGATGGATTCTGCTCTTTTTATGACAATGCTAGACTTCTTATATTGGGACCTACTATTATTTTCCTATATCAGGCCAGCATTTGTCTTAAGGTCTGTATGATTTTAGCTGCTGAGTCCTTAACCACTCTATGTACTTAATTTCTCTCTCCAATGCAGTATAAGATATTACATGGTTGTTATATCAAGTTTTTTTTTTTAATCGTGATAGCACAGAATTGAAATTCCATTCATAACAGCCACAGTTTCTCACAAAGCATTCTTTTCACATCACTATCTGTGGCAGAATACTGAACTATGTGTACCATTTTTTTGACCCATTAAATTATTTATGTTCCTGTTTTACAGTGGATGATTCAACAGCCACACAAAGCAGCAACATTTTTTGGATGCATTGGGATAGATAAATTTGGGGAAATCCTGAAGAGAAAAGCTGCTGAAGCCCATGTAGATGCTCATTACTATGAGCAGAATGAGCAGCCCACAGGAACTTGTGCTGCATGCATCACTGGTGACAACAGGTCAGTGTAATTCCAAGGGAAGCACTATACTAATTGGCTATTTTAACACTGGTAAAATCTGAATTCCAATGTGAATTTGGAATTTTGACTTTATAATTCCTTTTAATGTTTGATAAATGCTTATTCCTTATATCAGTTTTCCTGTGTTGTTTTTAAATTTACTTTTGTTAAACATGCAGTTGAAATCATGAGGCATGTGGAATAAAAGTTTGAGATTATTTAGTATAGCTTCTACTTTTTATAATTAGAATCAGAAAAGGCAGATAGCTTGCTCAATGCCTTGTAGCTAATTTGTTGCAAAACTTGAATTAGAAAGAATATTCTTTTCACCATATCCTGAGGTTGGAATATTAGAATGAGAGAGAGAGAGAGAGAGAGTGTGTGTGTGTGTGTGTGTGTGTGTGTGTGTATGTGTGTGTATGTATTTTATGTATATAAAATACAACATTCCATTCAGGCTCATATGACTTAGTCATCTGAATGATCATCTAAACCATTTCTGGCAAATAGTAATTCATTCATATTAAATAAACTCAGTCATGGGTAATATACCACTAACGAAGCAACCAAGTATAGTTCTATACACCCTTACTTATTAGAAAAGTATTCTTTATATGAAATTGAAATATCTCTGTCAGGTCCCTCCATGTGTTGGTTAATTGTTCCTTTGTTCCCAAATGGAGATACTCCTTCAATGTATTCATGATTTGCTAACGTTATTACCATATTAGCACAGGCTTTTTTCCCCTTTGCAAGGAAAAACAAAATAACTGCCCTACCAATTATTATATTGTTGGAATAATCAAAGATGACCTCTTTTTAAATAGTGATTCACTAGAAATTTTGCATTACTTATAGTTGAAAATATGTAGTCTGTCCTCTTCCATTCCCTATCTCCTTTCTTTTCCCATCTTCCCTTCCTTTTTTCTCTCTTCATCCTCCTTTATTTCCTTCCTCCTCTCCACTGCCATCTTGCTCCATTTCTTCTATTTAGCCATTTTATTGCTCACTACTTGACCTTCAGCAGAGGTATATTAAGAAATGGACTATTCTGGAGACTGGGGATCAATAAGCACAGTATTTACTGAATAACCAAAATACAGTATTCAAAAATTATTAGGGTATGAAAGGCATTTTCAGACTTTTCCTTTAATTTTGTTTTTTATATACAGGAGAACTTCATGATTTTAAGGTTTCAGTAAACATTGAAATATGGGATTCAAAGATTAAAAAAAAAAAAACTAAAAGTGTTGAAATATGCTTGTTTAGACCTTTGCCCTTAGTTTTCCCAAGGCCAGCCTTAATCTGTAGGTGCAAAGTTTTACCATTCGTGAGAAGTAGGTCAAATTTTCTTCTGAGATCACTAAGGCTACAGTAATATTACTAAATTGTTTTGGTATGCTAAATTGCTGTCTTAAAGAACAGTTATGGCTGGGTGCAGTGGCTCATGCCTGTAATCCCAGCACTTTGGGAGGCCGAGTCGGGTGGATCACCTGAGGTCAGGAGTTCGAGACCAGCCTGGCCAACATGGTGAAACTCTGTCTCTACTAAAAATACAAAAATTAGCCAGGCGTGCACCTGTAATCCCAGCTACTCAGGAGACTAAGGTAGGAGAATTGCTTGAACCTGGGGGGTGGAGTGAGCCAAGATTGCGCTACTGCACTCCACCCTGGGCAACAGAGCAAGATTCTGTCTCAAAACAAAACAAAGCAACAACAAAGAGAGAGAGAGAACAGTTATGATAATATAAGATCTCCTAGATGTCAAAAACTTAACTTTTATACTAATTTGATAGTTATAGTGATATTGTTCAGATGATATGGGAATCAAAAATTGGGGGGAAATCTTCAGTATCTAAATCATTATCTAAATTCTGGAAGCTAATACAGTTGGATCAATTTTTTTGGATAGGTCCGGTAACCTTTGCTGCCACTATCAAAAACTCAGAAATTGGCCAGGCATGGTGGTCACACCTTGTAATCCTAACACTTTAGGGGGCCAAAGCAGGCCAATCACTTGAGCTCAGGAGTTTAAGACCAGCCTGGGCAACATGGCGAAACTCCATCTCTACAAAAAATACAAAAATTAGTTAGGGATGGTGGCATGTACCTGTGGTCCCAGCTGCTCGAGAGGCTGAGGTGGAAGGATCGCTTGAGTCCCGGAGGTTGAGGCTGCGGTGGACTGGGGTTGTGCCACCCACTGTACTTCAGTCTGGGCAAAAGAGTGAGCCCCTGTCTCAAAAACAAAAAACAAAACAAAAAATTTCAGAAATCGAAGTGTTTGAGTAATTCAGTATCTTTCTTGATCCAGGTTCTTCCTCTTCAAAGTCAGAATCAAATACATTGGGATAATAAGAATACTCATATTTTTCTGGTCAGGCATGGCGGCTCATGCCTGTAATCCCAGCACTTTGGGAGGCCAAGGCAGGTGGATCATTTGAGGCCAGGAGTTCGAGACCAGCCTGGCCAACATGATGAAACCCCACCTCTACTAAAAATACAAAAAAACTAGCCAAGTGTTGTGGCGGGCACTTGTAATCCCAGCTACTTGGGAGACTGAGGCAAGAGAATTTCTTGAACCCGGAGGCAGAGGTTGCAGTGAGCCAAGACGGAGCTATTGCTCTCTAGCCTAGGCGACAAGAACGAAACTCCATCTCAAAAAAATAAAAAAGGATACTTTTATTTTTCTTTTGGAGAAACTGTAGTTTCCCATCAAAAAGTCATTGTATTATCAAAATAGAGTTTAGTATCTAGTACCAGAAGTGTTTGCTTTTATTTAGTAGCCATTTTGTCAAAATTTTCCTAAAGTCACAATTACTAAAATATTTTTATAAATTAGGTCTAAATTTTCTTAAGTTTGTAATATAGTTATTTTGTATTTGGATATGTTGATGCATATTACTCTTTCTTTCCTTCGTTTACTTGAACATAAACAGATGTATCCTTTAGTAGTAAATTGGCAGATGGATGAGTGGAAAGACGTTTTGGAAGAGAATTGAGATTTTTTTTTTTTTAACAGTGTAATCGAACATTTTACCAAAGTCTGAAATGATAAGATTTTTTTATAAGCTATAACTGTTACAATTTAATAAGAAAAAGAGAAAAATTGGCAAGTAATTTCTTAAATTCTGAAGCAGTATGAGGAAGGAAAGTATTTGTATTATTTAATAATGTAAATAATTATTGTATTTATTTTTAATTAAACAAACCAAGTGACACTTGTAACAGGATTTTATTTTTTTATTTATTCATTTTTTTTTTTTTAAAGAGATGTGGTTTTGCCTTTTTGCCCAGGCTGGAGTGCAGGTGGCATGATCATAGCTCATTGCAGCCTCAAACTCCTGGGCTCAAGCAATCCTCCCACCTCAGCTTCCTGAGTCCCTAGGACTATAAGTGTGCACCACTACCCCCAGCTAATTTTGAAAATTATTTTGTAGAGATGGGATCTGGCTGTGTTGCCCAGGCTGACCTGAAATTCCTGGTATCAAGCAATCCTCCCGCCTTGGCCTCTGAAAGAGCTGGGATTTCAACTTTGAGCTACTGCACCCAACCTGTAGCAAGATTTTAAATGCAGTATCCTGCTTAGATACTCTATTTCTAAAACTGGACCAGTCAAGGGACTTTTCAACTGTAGAAAACAATTCTAATTGATTTCAGTCCTTAGAATATAATGGTTTACAAATTAATTCCTCTTAGTGAATATGGTCTACATTTGTAAGCGTCTTTTGTGAAATTAATTCCATACTTGGCTTTTAAAGCCTTCGATTAAATAGACAATTATAGTATGTTGATATTTATTTTTATCAAGATATTTTTCTACTATAAAAAATGTTTTTAGTTGCATAGATTTCTTTTTATATAATGAGTTAGCTTTATTTCTTAACTGCATTTTGAACTATTAAGGTGTAAAAAGTAGGTCCTATTTTACTATCAAAAGGCAACTTAAATGCCAATTTCTTTCTCAGAATATCAGGTGTTGTTTAGAACAAAAATTATCATAGATGCCTCAGAAAGTTCTCAAAACAAAATTAGTATTTATATTTATTTAAAAATCAATAACATCAGTTTTGAAGAATTAAACTGTAAATTGTAAAATTTGCAAAAATATTGGTAACTATCTATAGAAATATATGCTAAGTTTGGCTATAATATTACTTGCTTATTCTTTGGTTGTTTTAGGTCCCTCGTAGCTAATCTTGCTGCTGCCAATTGTTATAAAAAGGAAAAACATCTTGATCTGGAGAAAAATTGGATGTTGGTAGAAAAAGCAAGAGTTTGTTATATAGCAGTAAGTACTTACCTAATTCAAATCTCTGGTACATATTTACATGATGGATTATAGTTGTTGTCTGATATATATTTTAAAGTAATTATCTTTTATTTACCGTGCAAATTATTTACCTATCTCAAAGCATATGTTAGATTCACTATTGTGAATATAGAACAGAAATAATTATCTTTCTATGGGTAACATAATTTGTATTATTTATCTTCATGTCTACCTATTTTTGGATACATTATGCATAGGTGCTTCCCAACCAAGTGCAGAATTCTATATTAAATCAATTTCCTAATATATTTTAAAATAATTCTACAAACTTACATCTTACATTTGTAGGCAACTTGCATTGTGCAGAAAAATATTAGTAGTATATATATTCACTGCAAATAGTTTGAGCTGATTTGCCTAAAAAACTTAATTGCTATTTATTCCATAGTAATTACCATGACACCTCTTAATTTAATATTTCAAAAACATTGATCGTGACAAATCTCTTAAATCTGGGAATAAGGGCAGGGTGTTATTTGAATTATTAAGTCTTCTGACATAAAAATAATTGGTTAAGAATTTATTTCTAAAATAGGACTGTACCAAAAATTCTTCTGAATTAATCACCCCCTGATTACCTTGTTTTTATTTAATATGTGTTAAATGTGGCTATACACAAATAAGTAGATACCTATGAAAAATTAAAAGCATCTCATATGCATGTAATATATGGATTTGGTATAACAGCTGCTGCCATTTCACTACCTGAGCTGTGTGAAATAGCTGGTAAGATGCATAAAAATTGATTATCCTACTAGTAGGAACATGTTTATTGAAAATATAATTATTTCTTTCAGTCTAATGTTAATGTCTCCTACAGCATGTTTATGTGCACTCTTCTAGGCTTTACAACATTGTTATTGATTCCTCTGTATACCAAATCCTACCCCTTTATAACTGTCAAATAAATGCTTACATTGAGAAGATTATATAACGGAAAGTTATACTATCTTTTCTGCCAGTATGTGAGAAAAACATTTCAAGGATTAAATATTTTTTCCCCTTTATCATTTCCATTTCATTTTATTTCTCAAATTGTTCTCATGTTCATTCCATTTTTCAAATCTTGTTACTATATTTTTTGTAGTGTGATTCTTTAGGGGGGATTTATGTACTATTTCAAACCATCTTACACGTGAAAGTCTGATTTTCAAAAAGCACCATGTTTAGAGTTTGGCATAATTTATTTATATTTGTTGACTATGAACTAAGACAGTGTATTCTGATGAAAAAGTATATTTAACTTGACAATTACAGTCTTCTATGTTTCAGTATATATTTGTTCAATCCTGAATTGTGAGCCAACTTGTAAACAACTCATAGTTATAATGATTATACAGTATAACACGTCTGGTCAACTTTGGGTGAATGGAACTTTTATGAAAGTATAGATTTAACTTGCAGACAACTTATAGTTTTAGCATTTATGCACTATATTGTATCTAGCCATATTTGGGTGAATAGAGTTTTATAGTATTGTTAAATATTTATACCTAATGTGCAATTTTGTACAGCGTAAAGTGATCAGCTTTGGTCAAATTAATAAGGCAAATGGGATTATTTTTGACATTTGGGTGGTGTATTCAGCTAGAAGAAATAACAAAATGGATTTCAGTTGTTATCTGTGATGCAGGTGTTAGCTTGTAGCTTCTGTTTCAGCAGTTTCATAAAAAGAATGATCTCTTACGTTGCCAGATAAATCTATACTCTTCTCATAGCTTGGCTTATTCCAAAGTAGTTCTGAAAATAGTAGACTCATATTGGATGCTTGGGATGCTGTATATTCTTAGTGAACATTTAACAAATATTTTCTTGGTGATTAACTAAGAGCATAATTCGTATTCATTGAAATCTGTGAACTTCCTTTTGAAATATAATGTTATTTCCACAAAGACACTGCAGGTTTTACAAATCTGTAATTCCCTTTGATTTCAGAGCATCCTGAAATGAGATGTAGTCTAGTCTAGTTTTTTCTTAGCATATGGTCAAACCATAAATTAAATGGGCTGCCCCATACTTTCTGGTTCTATGAGGTCAGCAGTCTCATTACATTATCATCATAAACTAATGAGGTTTAAGAAGTTAAAGTTTTTGGGGCTCTTTAATTCTAAAATGTTTTTGATCTAAGGAAGCAACTCAGTTTATCTATTAAACAAATTTCTGTAACTAAAACATCTGTCTGCATCACATAAGCTAAACCAGATCTTCGTACTCAGCTCTACTTCTTCACACTAGTCTCTAAACTAGCAGTGTTTAATGAATATTAAGAAAATTGCAAACCTTCTTCTTCATTTTCTTCACCATATAATTCACAGAGTAAGTTCACACTGGAAACCTTCCTGATTGAAAAGCTAAAATTGAATATGGATACACCAGCATCCTCTTTGGGTTTAAATACAGTGTCAAGATCTTTTAAAATTTATTTTTTATCTTTCATAATAAATGTTTCATTTTATGCCATGTAAACTCAGTTTTTCCATGTTTAAACCAACTTCTCAGATTCTTTGTTAGCAAGTAATTGTTGACTACTGGTTATGGTGACTAGGTAATTACGTTTTTGAAAACATAAGTCTCAGGTTCTCTTCACCTTAGAATTATCTAAGGGATGTGTCTGTTTTTCCTCACTTAAATAATATTTCCTGACTAGGCATGGTGGTTTATGCCTATAGTTCCAGTGCTTTGGGAGGCCAAAGCCAGTGGATTGCTTTTGGCCAGGAGATTGAGTCCGGCTTGGGCAACATAGTGAGACCCCATCTGTGCCAAAAAAAAATTCTTTTAAATTAGCAATGCATAGTGGCACTCACCTGTAGATCTAGCTACTTGGGTGACTGAGGCAGGAGGATTACTTGAGCCTAGGAATTAGAAGTTACATTGAGCTATAATTGTGCCACTATACTCCAGCCTAGGTGACAGAGCAAAATCCTGTCTCAAAAAAAAAGAAAAGAAAAGGAAAAATAATATTTCTTAAATTAGACCTGTAAGACTTATTCAGGAAAGGCTTACGAAAAAGAATAGTACATTGGAGCCATTAATTTTTCTACATTATGTATTTCCTTCTTTTATATTCTTAACTTTTATTTTTACTTTTGATTTTTTTGCGACTGAACCTTGCTGTGTTGCCCAGGCTGGAGTGCAGTGGTGCAATCGCAGCATGCTGCAACCTGCGCCTCCCAGGTATAAGCAATTCTTGTGCCTCAGGCTCCCAAGCAACTGGGACTACAGGCATGCACCACCACGCCCTGCTAGTTTTTTGTGGGTTTTTTTAGTAGAGATGGGTTTCTCTATGTTGGCCAGGCTGGTCTCGAACTCCTGGCCTCAAGTGATCCACCCACCTTGGCCTCCCAAAGTGCTAGGATTATAGGCATGAGCCATTGTACCTGGCCTTAATTTTTTTTTTTTTTTTGAGGCAGCATCTTGCCCTGTGGTCTAGGCTGCAGTGCAGTGGTACACTCATGGTTCACTGCAGCCTTGACTACCTGGGATCAAGCAATACTCCCACATCAGCCTCCTGAGGTGCTGGAACTACAGGTGCATACCACTGTGCCTGACTTTTTTTTTTTTTTTTTTTTTACTTTTTAATTTTTTTTTTTATACTTCAAGTTCTAAGGTACATGTGCACCACATGCAGGTTTGTTACATATGTATACCTGTGCCATGTTGGTGTGCTGCACCCATTAACTCGTCATTTACATTAGGTATTTCTCCTAATGCTATCCCTCCCCGCTCCCCCCACCCCATGACAGGCCCCAGTGTGTGATGTTCCCCAACCTGTGTTGATGCCCCAAGTGGTCTCATTGTTCACTTCCCCAACCTATTAAGTGAAAACATGGCAGTCGTTTGATTTGCATGTCCTTGATGATGTTTGCTCCAGAAGTTTCCCAAGCTCCATCAATCGTCCTACAAAGGACAATGAACCTTACCTTTTTCTTTATGGCTGCATAGTATAGTCCATGGTGATTCATATGTGCCCACATTTTCCTTCAATCCAGTCGATCCTCATTGCGATGGACCCAATTTGGTTGTCCCAAGCTCATTTGCTATTGTGAATAAATACCACCAAATAAACATACCATCGTACCATAAGTTTCATATAGCAGCATGAATTATAATCCTTTGGTATGTAACCCAGTAAATGGGAATGGCCGGTCAAATGTATTTAATACTTCCAGATCCTTGGAGGATCGCAACAACTGTCTTCCCAATGGTGAAATAGTTTATAGTCCCCACCAACAGTAAAAGCCTTCCTAATTCTCTCACAATCCCTCTCCAGCACCTGTGTTTCCCCTGAACTTTGAATGATCCACATTCTTACTGGTGTGAGAATAGTCTCATCATGTGTGGTTTTCCATTGCATTTCTCCCCTGAAAGAAACACAAAATGGCTGAGTAAGCATTCTCCCATGCTTCCTGCTGGCCTGCATAGACTGGCCTCTTGTCGAGAAAGTGTCCGTCTTCCATATCCTCACCCACGTTTTTGATGGCTTTGTTTTGAATTTTTCTGGTAAATTCGGTCTTTAAGTTCTTGAGAATGCGATATACCACTTTGTCAATTGGGGTAGAAAGCCAAAATTTCCTCCCATTTCTGTAAGTGCCTGCTTTCAACTCCTGATGTAATTTCGTGCTGGCCAGAAGCTCTTTAGTTTAACTTAGATCCCAGTTGTTTGGTTTGGTTGCCCAACTTGCCTTTTGGTGGTCTTTAGTCATGAAATTCCTACCCATGCCCCTGTGGTCCCTGATGGGATTGCCTAGGTTTCCTTCCTAGGGTCTTTTTTTTATGGTTTTTAGGTCCTAACATCTAAGTCCTTTAATCATCCATCCTTTGACATTTTTTTAATATAACGGTGTAGGAAAGGGGGATCCATTTCCGAAGCGTTCTACCCATATGGCTACCCCAGTTCCCAACACCAATTTATTAAATAGTGGGAAATCCTTCCCATTTCCTTGTTTGTCAGGGTTTGG